GTACCACGACCTCACAGAAAACCAGCGTGAAGTAGAGGTTTACCTCTGCGTTTCGCTTGGTGAGTGCAGGTGGCCGGAGGCCCTTTTTACTGGAAATGAGGCATTCCATCTTAGTCCTCACGGGTGACAACGCATCTACATTTTGATTTGTAACAGAGGATACATGTAGATGTCTATGGGCCGCAGCAACCACTTACCATCAGGTGGACTGTGTACTCGTTTGTCACCCTTATCCTATAAAAAAAAAATTCCGTGTCCATAAATTCATTACAAAATGGAGCGGTTAACACCGATAATAAGTATTTTACGATCTGCACTTACCATTGTTCTTATTCATATATCATCAATACGTTCACTACTACACGTGACCACCTCGCTGTCCCGAACCCAGCGTGGTGTGGTATTGGTCAGTGAATAGAAGATCAATAATTGGTTGATCCGTGACCATCCGTCCGTTTTAGGCGTATGAGGGGTATATTTACCATTGTTGCCACGCTTGGCCAGCGAGTAGTCAACCGCAGTTTACGATACGGATGATATGGTGTAGGAGATATTCTTACACCGCCACTAAACGGTAACTCTACTTACTTAAGTATACTTAAACAGATTTAATATAGCGAATTTATGTAAACCAGCACCTTTATTTAAACTAACATAGAAGTACCACGGGTACACTTTTGACACATTTAAATAAAACTAGTTTTACGGATTTTATCGCATATATTAACTTCTTTTATATTTCCTTTCCTTACTTTATTATTTACTGATGATGACAAAATAAATTAAGGAATGGGAATATAAAATAAGTTAATATACGCGATAAAATCCGTTACGTCACATTGTTACCGGTACGTATAGGAAAATGAGTGATGTTTTAAATTGAACGAAAGTGGCATTCCGTTGAATGGGTTTTCCCTTTTTACAGTTTGCTGTCTAGAACAAAGAGAAATTGAAGCGTGAGTAAGATTGAGATGTAGTTTTTTTTTTAAATTTAAACGGATTAACAAACCTGCGCACAGAATGGTAAGTGGATGCTGTGGCCCATAGACACTTCCATCTATTCTCTATTATGAATCAAAAAGAAATATATCTTGTAGACTCAAATCCCATGGTGTTTGCCTTTGCCTCATATTGGTAGAGCCACGGGAACGCTTTCACACTCATCCGCGACCCCACCAGCGCTGACCGCCTCATAGTGACCCCTTCTCGAGTGGAGACTACACTTACTTCTATCCCTTCTTAGGTAAGGCGCATAGAACACAAGGGGTGCCTTCCTCCGCGGCCTGCAACTCTACCTGCATAACGTACACCCCTGAGTTCGATACGCAGAGGCCTTGCGCACTGATTAAGAATCAAACTGCAGGTGCGTTGTAACCACTGGGGACCAAAATGGAATGTCTATTACCAGTAAAAAGGGTTACTTCCTTTTTGCGGTTAATTGGGACATTATAAGATGACACATATGCAGAAATATACAGACCTTATCTATCAGAAGACTCAAATTATTTATTTAGCAAACATTTGTCCAGTAAGGGTTATTATACTACTAAAGGGTACATGACTGATAATAACCCCAGGGAACGAGGTGATCGCTACCATGCTGTTTCTAAATGTTTTCATAACATTTGTATAAAATATTATAGAGTACGTGAGGGTAATATGGTCATCCGGTTAATATGGTCACTTTCTTAAAACTCAAAAACTACAGCCCAATTTGCATAGATGGCTTTGTGATACGATAGCTCTTCATCAGTCATTCAAATAATAAAGGGTCAAAAGGCCGCCGCTTTATCGACGCCATTTTGACAGTTGATATTATGGTAAGTACGTGAGGGTAATATGGTCACCTTAAGCTTTATCGCTCTATAAAACCAAAATTAGGAGGAGAACAGACACAAAAACACAAAGTCGTATACTATAACAAATATATTAAGAAAAAAATAGCAGATAAGCTTTGAACATAATTAGGAACACTTCGAAAAATCTACTTAAAAAAACTAACTGCACTACACAATACAAAAACCGACTAAAATGTTTAGCATAATATCAACTGTCAAAATAGCGTCGATAAAGCAGCGCCTTTTTGAGCCTTTATTATTTGATAGACTGAACAAGAGCTATCGTATCACAGAGCGTTCTATGCAAACGACGCTGTAGTTTTTAAGTTATAAGAAAGTGACCATATTAACCGAATGACCATATTACCCTCACGTACTATAGTTAGATTTTTTTTAAGTTGATTTTTCGAAGTGTTGCTAATTATTGACAAGGCTTGTTTGTTATTTTTTCTATATTAGTTATAGTATACGACATTGTGTATTTGTCTTTCTCCTCCTCCTGGTTTTGGTTTTATAAGGCGGCAAAGCTTAAGGTGACCATATTACCCTCACGTACCTTATTGTAAATTGCGCTTTTAAAAAAAAGTCCCGCTGGGTTTCTTGCTGGTTATTTCCAGGACCGAGGTTTTTTGCGAACCAGTGGTAAAACTAAAAAATGACTTTTAATAAGTATTATGTAATCTATATTGAATAAAATGATTCTATTCTATTACGTAATAATTACGCTTCTACCAAAAGACTAAATAACGAACTAAGTAACTGCCGGTTGTTTTCTTAGTGTTTTAATCAGTTCAATCAATTTGCTCACAGCAACATTGCTCATTGTAATGAAACAAATAAAGAAAGAAAGAACTATTTGTGTGTTACATATTTTACACACATTTAAAAAAATATACAAAAGCAAGGGACTAAAATATGTATGCCTGGTGCATCTAAGACTGTTTACGCATTAACAATTAAGAAGCAGTACATGCATATCATTGATTAATATTGAAAAAATAAATAAAAACAAAATTAAAATGTGACATCGGATAGGTCTGATGTCATATGAGGCTGAGTTGGACTCAGCATAATGCTGCAAAGGCGGCGCTCGTTTTCAGTTGGAGCCTTGTGACTTCACAGACAAGTCGGTGTGTGATCTTTCAACAACGAGTTTCTACGAGTTACATAGTTATCTATTTACAATTACAAGTTAGAAATTAGTGCTAACGTATATAAATAGATAATACACACATGCACTAGCTAATAGATGTATAAATGTTATTCATACTATATATTTAAATAATACCTACACATATACTTATACCTAAAATATTAACATGATGTTTGACTCTATGGGGAAGACATCTTTTACGTTTTTCACAAAAGTAGATAATTTAATGCATTTTCACATTTAGCTACAGCAACTTTTTTGTAATCTCTGCGTTAAATGATGAATAATCATAATATATGAATCTATACTTTAAATAATAAAGCGGAAGAGTTTTTTGTTTTTTTTTGTTTGTTTAAACGCGCTAATGTCTGGAACTACCAGTCCGATTTGAAAAATTCTTTTTGTATATTATACCCAGATTCATGTGGTATAGTATAAGCTATCTAGCATTAAGCTATATTACTCAACTAGCCTTCAATATGTATATTTGTTAAGCAAGTTAGAAGAAAAAGCACTCCCGAAATGATTTATCCGCGTACGCTGGTGTTATCGTTAGGGATACGTAAATACAATGTTCTAGAAAAATATAGACCTTTACTCCGTCTAAAAAAATCCGTGATATCACGTATGTCTATTTCTTATACATAAGCCATAATTTGATATTTCGTGACAAAAAATATTGAAAATTTAAAAGTGATTTATGAGCGTTATTATTAGGCATGGCCTATTTATCCTTACGAACGAAAGTTACTTCATTATCAAACAATTTTATGAAGATAAACTTTGTTCTTTATACCATGTTATTTGGACGCATAGTTTAAAAGTTAATGTAAAATTAAAATAATTCAACACTTGGCTGGGCGCGCGAACGACGCTTAAACCCTAGCCACTCGCGCATGTCGCGCACCTCGGACACGTGATGACGCGGGTGAAACCGCGGGGCACAGCTAGTTGATATATAGATGGATATAGATATGAAACTTGAAACAAGGATTTTTTAATTAAAACAGCAGCTTAATGTTGCTGGTTTACGTATGTGAGTATAGAGATTCGGAGGCCCTTTTTACTAAAAACGAGGCATTCCATCTTAGACCTCAGGGGTGACAACGCATCTGCATTTTGATTCTTAATCGAGGATAAATGTAGATGTCTATAGGCCACATCATCCACTTTACCATTAGGTGAACTGTGTGCTCGTTTGGCACCCTTATTCTATAAAAAAAAATATACTGATACGTAAAATATTAACATGATATTCGACTCTATGGGGAAGATATCTTTTACTTTTTTCATAACAGTAGATAATTTAACAACTTCTTTTGTGATCTTTACCTTAAATGTGATGAATAATCATAATGTGAATTAATGGATATACGAGTAGATGAACCTTGAATCATAATATTAGATGGTTCAACCTTCCGAAAATCAAAGTAAAAATGGAGTCTATATCAAGTACAATATTTTAACACCACTTGGCTATACTGTCTTAAGGCGCGTCTCCACCAAAGTTTTGTTGTCAACACAACATTTGTCAATACGTTTTTCCGACAAATGTTTCTGTAATCACCTAGTTATAGCAACAAAACGAAACAATGTCGGGAATCGTGTTTTCTTTTTCGTCGGCAACATCAAAGGTACACGCTTGTTGCCGACATTTGTTCCCTCAGTGGAGACGCTTCTTCCAACATTTTGAAACATTTTCGGAAACAAATGTCGTCAACTTTTGTTGATTTGTCAACAGTTGGAGACATAAATGTTGTCAACATTTTTGGTGGAGACGCGCCGTTATAACCGCAAACAGACCTTATATGGAGCGATTAACGAGAATATTAAAAAAGTTAACAGGGGAAGCATACGATATGTTCTGTGTGATATATACGTTTTGTGTAGAAACTAAACTTCTGTGAAATAAAAATAAAACGCATGTTAAATATCTTACTAACATTGCGTTACGCTTATACCGGTTTTATAATATGTTTATGTTTGGTATTTACTCATGTCTTCTCGACGTAGTTGCGAAATGTGCAAGACCAACCGTTGCAACAAGCCCCATGTAAATGCTGTTGGTTAACATGACCTATTACGCCGCCATTTTGAAATGTACTCCAAGTTTTGCGGAAATGCACCACAAATTGTCGTATTTTCTTGCGATCGGATAGCCATATCGAGTTAGCACCGAGTAGAGGTGTAAACAAGAAATCGCCTCTCAACTCTCCGCTAGTCCGTTAACTTACTAGCTTACTACATCCACAACCGGCGTAGCCACTGTCCGTTACGTACGTGGCGAACCGAATACTAATTCGATTTTTGAAATCTTTTTTCAATTTTGTTTTACGAGAGTACTTCACGATTTTAAAGAGAAAGTGTTTTGTGTTTAGGCGCGAAATAGCGCCATAGATTAGTGGCAGTGACATACTTTTTTATTTTTAAAAATTTCCGTGTTGTGTTTGTGACTTTTTTATTATTGATTTTGGATACTTGCGAATTTGCTTCAAATTCTATAAGGTAAGTGTTTACTATTAATTTTCATTATTTATGGTTTGTATGTAGAATGAATAAAGAAATTTATTACGCAATATTTTTAAGTTGACAAATACCATTTTATTACATATTTGTCTTTAAATACTTCGTTAAAATAAAACAGTTTTTGAAAGCTACTAAATGAAAAAGTAAAAGCCGTGACAGTGTAGTGACGAAAATGCCATCGGTTTTACGTGTTCGGTGTTAACGTACCCAAGGCAGGCGTAAGAAATCAAGGTTGTAAGGAGAAAGTGACCCAGCTATATGAACGATGGGACCGACTACGTCGCCTGCCTGTAATGATGATGCTGTTTTGGTTCTTTATAGCGTAGAGTATTAGACAATGAAAGAAATGGTATGTTACATTGATGATGGCGCGAGTTATGAGTGAGCAAAGACAAGAGAGAATGAGGCGTAGATGGTCATAGACAAATAAAAAAAACATAGTGATTAATTTATATTTTGGTATAAAACAGGACTTTTTTACTATGCTCTAAGATAGAACGCAGGTAAAGACGTAAGACGTAGATTCCATTACGACGAGTGTTATTGAGCAATTGTTTTATTTTGATTATCCTACTTAATATAAAAATATACTTAAGTAAAGTGATTGGGAACGACATTTATTTGAATATAGTTGTGCCAAAAACACATATTCTTACGGGGAATGTACGTTAGGTATCTACGTAAACTTCCCGTATGAATATCTGGTTAGTCACAATTATGCTATACGTGTAATTTGACTGCTTCCGTTGATCATATAGTTCCGGGTTTGAATCCGGGTATATACCAAAATCTCAGTCAGTAGCTTCCCGGAGTCAGGAAGTTGTTTATCGGAAAGATCGAGAGGCTGTTGGTACTGCGCTTGATCTTTCTTAGATCGTGTCGGATTGCCATCCCATTGGAATAAGAGAATGGGGGAATAGAGAGTGCACCTGTTCTTACGTATACACTCGTGCACTCTATTCCTGTCTTGCGCTGATGGCTAGTCTCCGTTGAGAATGTCCGCTATGACCAAAATTCATTCTGGAGGATAATTTTACAATAAAATTATTATTATTGTTTACCACGTAGTGGTAGTGTAAGAATATTCATTACCTCATTACATCCCGTGAGTGTCGTAAGCGGCGGCAGAGGGCAACAAATCAGGAAATGGGCAGCACCGTCATCATAATAACGACTAAAAATAAAAATAAACTGTGTGTGCCAACCTGTTTGCTAAGCGTGGCAACTATGGCAAATATCCCCCTATGAGGCAATCTATGGGGGAGGCCTATGTACAGCAGTGGACTTCTATAGGCTGTAATGGATGTACGCCTAGAAGATAATATATACCATATACCAGAAGTACATGACCCACTGAGAGGTGAACTATGGCAAATATCGCCCTATGAGGCACTGTATGGGGGAGGCCTATGTTCAGCAGTGAACTTCTATAGGCTGTAATGGATGGATGTATAGAAGATAATATACCAGGAGTACATGACGCACTAAGAGGTTAAGTATATCAAACATCCCCTTATGAGGCAATCTATGGGGGATTTCATCAGTGGAATTCTATAGGCTGTAATGGATGGATGTATAGAAGATAATATACCAGGAGTACATGATCCACTGAGAGGTGAACTATGTCAAATATCCCCCTTTGAGGCAATTTATCGGGGAGGCCTATGTTCAGCAGTGGACTTTAATAGTCTGTAACGGTAACGGATAACGGTATAGGAAAGTAACGGTAAAAGTAAAGTAACAAACTGTACATCCCAATGCTGGACACAGACCTCCTCTTATTCCTGAAGAGTTAGGAAGCAACAATCTCCACGCTGCTTTAGTGAATGGTAGCGACTTTTAAATAGATTTTATAGAATAAGGGTGACAATCGAGCACACAGTCCTTCTGATAGCAAGTGGATGCTGTGGCCCATAGACAGCTAAATCTATCCTCAGTTAAGAATCAAAATGCAGATGCGTTGTTACCCCTGAGGATGAAGGTGAAATGCCTCGTTTCCAGTAAAATGGAGACCCAAAAGATTCTCTACACCCATCATACGTAACAGCAGGAGTAAGCTGCTATTTTACGCTGGTATTCTGTGAGAGGTTAGTTAATAGTAGAGTTAATCTATCGCAGGTTGAGCCGACCCATTCGTGCTACAACTATAATAGCTGCAGCATGGCTCTACATCGTATAAAATTTAATTTCTTAGATGTACAGGTTTTATTGCGATGTTTTCCTTGATTTCTGAGCAAGTGGTGAATCAAATTAATAATTACCTTGGTGCCGGCGGGGATCGAACCCCGGCCCCGGGTGGCTCGCGTAATGTGAAATATACAGCGTGTTTATATAATGTTTATACAATCGTAATATCAGTTACTTGATGCAGTGATTGTAAGTTTTTCTTACTTGTTTGAGTAAGATTATTGGAGGACCGCTTCGGGGAATATTCTTGTATTACGTATAGCGAGAGAGTGGTGTTTCATAATTTTAAATATTATTTCAACCTTTTTTCTCTTTTTATTTTTTATTTTTATAGAATATTGGTGATATTCGAGCACACTGTCCACCTGATGGTAAGTGGATGATGTGGCAATGCAGATGGGTTATCACTTGTCACCCCTGAGGACTAAAATAGAATGCCTCGTTTCCAGTAAAAAGGGTCTCCGGTTCTTCACCATATGAAACACAGCAGCATTTGTTCTATTTTACGCTGGTGTTCTGTGAGAGCGTGGTCCTTCCCCGTTCGAGCCGACACATCCGTGCTACAACCATAAAATAGCTGCAGCATGGCTCTACCACGTAAACGTTTATCATCTTGTATAAGAAAATACATCTTTAGTTCCCATGTTGATTTGTTTTATAATTAAGCATAGTTACAAATTGATACATACAGAGGCGTGGCAGACCAAAAGCTGGAAACTCACCTTAAATTTTATAAGTGAGCTCTCTTCAGAATAGTATATTCTTTGTACGTCCTGCTAGTATCATTGAAAAATTGTCAATAGTAATTCTGATTTACATGATCGACGGTGGAAGAAAATATAGTGAAAAAACCGGTATGTCTGACAAATTACATATATACCAAAAAGATGTTTTTTTTTAAGAAAAACCTTTTTTATAGGATATGGTGACAAACGGGCACACAGTCCACCCGATGGTAAGTGGTTGCTGTGGCCCATAGACATCTACATCTATCCTCCTTTGCGAATCAAAATGCAGATGCGTTGTCACACGTGAGGACTAAGATGGAATGCCTCTTTTCAAGTAAATAGGGTCTCCGGTTCTCTACATTTACCGTACGAAACACAGCAGTGTTAAGCTGCTATTTTACGCTGCTATTCTGTGAGAGCGTGGTCCTTCCCCGGTCGAGCCGACCCATTTTAAGGTCATACATTTCATTTTTATTAATAATATCGTATCATGATTGTTACAAGCGGTAAAATTAAAAATTTTGTACTACCGACTTCAATATAAATAAAATGAGAACATCATCAACGTAGTCGAAGTCAATTAAATAAGTATTATTAAGAATAACTCAAAAACCACTGGTCAGATCACGATCAAATTTATATGGGAACACATGAGAAGCCACCAACTTTCAAATTAAAAAAATTAAAATCTGTTCACCTAGAAAAAAGTTCTGAGGTTCACATAAAAAAATACATTCGAATTAAGAATTTCCCCCTTTTTTGAAGTCGGTTGAAAATGTCTGTATTGTACCCTGTATCTGTCTGTACGGATGGGTTCAACTTGAGTTAAGTAATAGATATAAAATTTACATGCGTTGTAAATAGGTAACCCTAAGCCCAGTTTGTTTTTCTTTTAAGTTAATGTTCATTCAAACGGACAAAGTCGCGAGCAAAGTTAATATTATAGACAACACGCTTTACTTTTTGCGACGATCATCACCATCAGATTCCTTTAACTTTAATAATTTTAACATTACATTGGTATATATTTGTGGCGTTAAAATATTTCTCTTTTGTTTAAAGTTATGAAAAAAAAACTTAAATAATTAAGCACAAAATAATGGTAATTAAGATAAGTGAATGAATATTTTTCAAAAACAAAACCGGTTATCTAATCCGACATCGTTACCGACGCGTTAATTATAGATATGTTTGGTGTCTAATTGAAGATTTATAATTTACTGTGACTTTTTTCCTGTAAGTCTTAAATTTTGTTCTTACGAGTACAATTAAAGAGTATCCGCCTTATGTTAAACAACTAATGCAACCTGTGGACCAAAATTAAACGTGGTAGAGTCATGCTGCAGCTATATTAATTTGTAGCACGAAAGGATCGGCTCGACCGGGAAAGAACCACGCTCTCACAGAATACCAGCGTAAAATAGCAGCTCAATGCTGCTCTGTTGCGTATGGTGAGTGTAGAGAACCGGAGACCTTTTACTGGAAAAGAAGCATTCCATCTTAGTCCTCACGGGTGACAATGCATCTGCACTTTAAATCGCAAACGAAGATAGATGTAGATGTCTATGGGCCATAGTAACCACTTACCTTTAGGTGGACTGTGTACTCGTTTGTCACCCTTATTCTATAAATCTGGCACCCTCATTCTTTACATCTATCCTCGATTAAGAATCAAAATGTCTTAGCGTTGTCGTCGCTGAGAACTAAAATGGAATGCCTCGTTTCCTGTAAAAGCGTATCGTTTCTACACTCACCATACGAAACAGCAGCATTGAGGTGCTATTTTACATTGGTATTCTGTGAGAGCGTGGTCCCACTCGCGAGGTCGATCCGACTCATTCGTGCTGCAGCGTGGCTCTACCACGTAAAACACAAGTATATTTAATATTTTATTAATAAATAAAATTAAAATTATTATAACCTCTATACGTCCCACTGTTTGGTAGAATCCTGTTTTCATTTCTGTAGGGTGATGGATTAGTTCGTCCTGCTTCGTTTTAGCGTTGCCAGTTTACATGTCTTCGAAATACATTTTAATTATCAGACATGTATGTTTTCTCACAT